GTTTCCTACCTTTGTCAGTAGGTGTAGTTACAGTTAAACCTACTGAATTAAAGCCATTGATATGTCTTAGTGCTGTGAACTGTTGTCTAGATCCATTCTTATATTACTTTTCCTTTGATGGCTTCTGGAAGAAAAAAGAAGATGCGGATCCGCCAAGAGAGCAGTAACTTTAGGACATGCTATTTCAATGCATAATTCCAGTCACATTAAGGTTTTCCTATTTTCCAAAAAAAAGTGATTGTGTAGCAATGGGACAAGTATTTTGTTCAACTGTATTGTTTTGTTTTTTAAATTGTTTAATAAAATGTTTCTGGTGCTTCAAACAACAACAATGATGGACTAAGAATGTAAAAGGCTTGTTGTTAGCGGCAGGAAATTTTGGCAAAATTTGAACACTTCTTCTGTTTTCAAAGAATTATTAATAGTTGGGGAAATATGCTCATTTGAGAATACAGACATAGAGGCACGTGAACAGGAAAGGTGGAGTTGCTGGTAGACTTTTCTCAGCTTCAGTCAGAGACAATCTGTTGCCTCTGTGATGGTGTTGTTCCTATATCATCAAAACACTGTTGGTCCAGCTCCAGCATCGCAACTGACCAATCACATTGTCAGAGCATTCAGTTTGCATTAGCTAAGAAGCTAACTAATGCTATTAAAAACTATCACAAGCAAAGCAAGCTAAATTTGGCAAAAAGCAAACCTAATTTGATAATGAATTTGTTATATTGCATTAATTATTAGAAAAAACCCACTTGAAAAATTGACAATGTGTTCCAGAAGAGAGTTTATATAAACAAAAGTGTTTTTATTTTCTTTTTTCCACCGTTGCATAGCTTTGACATCACACAACGTGACTGGTCGGATGCAGTATTACTCTTCATTGTGATATTACTCATCCAGGATGATCAACAGTGCAGCTATCTGGTAATTGCTAATAGTTACATCTTTTAAATGAGTGTGCATATCAACCAGGTTTACATTCATACTGACTGTTCTGATCTGCCTGACCTGAACAAGGTCAGGCAGACTTGCCTCTCTCTGCTTTCTTGTCTTTCCACTCACCTCCAATGATTTGTGGCAGATGGCTGCCCTCCCTGACCCTGGGTTTGTAGGAGGTTTCTTCCTGTGAGAAAGGGACTTTTTTTCTACCCACTGTTACCACAGGTTTGATCAGAGTCATGGAATTTTGGGGGTTTCATTCTAATATTATTTTATAATATAAAGCACCTTTGGCTGACTGTCGTTGTGAATTGGTGCTATATAAATAAA